GAAGATGACTTTACTTGGAGTTAAGTTTGACTTTCTCCGTGTCCCAGCGACCCTGAAGCTGCATGGCCTCTTTCAGCTTGTCCTTCAGCTGGCTCTCCAGAGCTGACATCTCCACACCACTAGAGGTGCTCTCCTGAGTTACTCTGGCCTCTAAGTTCATGCAGGCAACATGCAGCTGCCGGCTGGCAGTGCCACACTCTCCGCGCATATCAGACAGGGTCCTGTTGAACAGATTAATGTCCATCAAGATTTACAGAATGTATCTTTCATAATGTACGAAAGATCCAATAGGGCAAGGAGACATGACATGATGTTGTGTTCATACAGTTGTGAACCATTAGTTGAAATAAAAAGTGTCTGTTAGTATTTGAAAAGGAGAGATTTCTGCAGCGGTTAAACTCTGGCATCAGGGCTCACTTTGAAAAGTGTTTGGTTTAAATGACAGTACTGTACAGCTGTCTGTGAGCTGAGCAATCAATATTAAAGCAAATGACGCTTCAGTAGTGCTTACAGAGCTTCAACATGATAGACTCCATGTATTATAGGTCTCAAGCTTTGTCCTAATGAATGATTTCACGAGTGAGGCTAGAGACTTTAAGCCCTCAGTCCCCCCAGTGAGGAAACAAAGAGAATGGGGACTGACGACCCTGTTGACCTGTTCCACTTTGATCCCTGGCTAAGAGAGATGGATTCTGGTTGCAGCCGTGAGTGTGAGACACCAGAGAGGTGGGGGTTATTGTAGCTGAAGGGATTATGGCAGAGCGCCACGCTCACCTGTCAGTGAAAGTCCTTAGCTGGTTGAAAGTACTCCGCAGGGAAGCAGCCTGGCGCCACAGTGCTCTGACACGAGCCTGTTCACGACTCAGCCGGGAGGCGCACGTCTGCAGAGAGTAGCAGACAGGAGGGAGAGACAAAGGAGGGTGAGCGGTAAGGGCTGACTATAAGAAATGAAGGCACCCATCTTTTTATTGTGATCCCAAACAGATGCAATACTGTACCTCCTGGACTCACCATGGCACATGTACAAATACATGTATTTCCCTGAATCAACAGGCGTAGCCCATTCACAGCACAACTCAAGATTGTTTGTACAAAATGTTCCTCCCCCTCAGCAGTTGGAATGTTTTTACAGGAAACAACAACTCAACAATAATAGCTATGAGATGTACAAGGAATGAGAATTAATTGACAAAACTGGCTATGAATGGAATTCCTACCCCATGTGAACTCAACTCAAGGAGTTTAATAGCACAAAACGCAGAAAATATATACTGAGCTTTCCCTGTTGCTTTTCCTGACGAAAGCGTTAATGTTTGTGTTTTTTCTCACCTCTTGCTCTCTGCGCAGACGCAAATCACTTAAGTCAACATCTTCACGAGCCTTCCACAAGCTCTCTGTTAGCCCCTGGTTGACCGTGCCGGCCTGATCCAGTTGTTCCCGCAGCATATAGTTGACTTGGCTGACGCTGGCCCACCTGGAAATAACAAGCATTATGATATTTAAAGACCAATTGGCAATTCCCCCCTGAAACCATCTTAATCTGTAGCCTTTAGACCCTCCCCTGCAAACCACACTTACAGGGTGAACATGTGACTGAAATATAAAATTCTGTGTCAACTTAGACTTAATATCGAGCAGATCTGCTTGTAGAGTCATCTAGTGTTTACATCATTCTCACACTAAACACACCCTGTTACAGTAAAGCACAACACATTTCTATGTTTGGTTGTGTGCCTGACAGGAAACCAAGCCTATGTTATTCCAATGATAGGCAAACACATAGTGCTAGTTGTAGACTTAATCTCTACATTGCACCAGCATTAAAAAGTGCTTAAGGGGATAGAGCTAGGTAACTCTGCTGTGAGTGATATTTTAGACAGTTCAAATGGAATTTCAAATAAAGTTGCATCATTTTATAAATCATTGGGCATAAAAACCTGGCCCTAGCTGCAGAGGTTGGCCCACATTTAGTGTGAAGCATCATTAAAATGCTTTAGAGAAGCAAGCCAACATTGCCAAACTAATTTCCTCTGACAAATTGGATAGTGAGATAATCTGCCAAGGGCAGGTTCTGCCTGCTCCCCGCAGCATGGCAGGGAGAGCAGCAGGAATACCTACAGTAAGGAACTGCTGGGAATATCTCTAGTCCACACATTTCTCAGAAATATGTTGGCTTGATTTCAGCTTCTCAACAAGAAACAGCGAAAAGCAAATTGTAACAGCTTTGCTCGCGCTTAATTTTCTGCTCAAAGTCGGCATCCAAATAACGACTTCCTGCTGCTTGGTATTATAATTATTTCTGGAAATGTTGTGCATTTCATTCTAGCACCGCAAATACAGAAGCTGTATAAAGTGCAACTGCAGTGCATGGTGCCCATCTCTCACCTCTGCTGCTCCTCCTCCAGCTGAGCACACTTCTTCTGGATGGTGGTGTTGAGATCCTGCTCTGTCTGCTGCTGACACTGGGCTGAGTCTAGGTGGCCCTGCAGCTGAATACACAAACGCACACCACTGCTGGCATCCTCAAAACATGTTGATATAATGTATGGTAGGCAAAAGTAAATTAGCAGTTAACCAATATTTGTAAAGCAACATAATTACAGTATCTGCTAATCCAAATTCTCTGCGGAGGCCACTCAGCCAAGAAAACTATTTGAATGAATTAAATACATTCATACAACATAAAAAGTTCAAGTTTTTTGTAAAAGGTGTTTAATTGCTTGCATAAACAATTTGATTTGTTGTTGTTGTTACCTTACATGTTCTGGGAAAATAAGGTATAAAAAGGATAACATATAGTTTAGTTAATATGTGTGTATTGTATACATAAAATATATAATTTAGACATAATATATCATATAATATCATTAAAAAAGATAATAATAATGTTGGCAGAAAGACGTTAAACATGAGTCGAGCACTTTACCATTGATTTGTATAGTATTGTGAATGCTGTAACGTATTGAAATTGTGATAATGCTGATTGGCCTCTAGAGGACCCTAGCAGGCCCTTTAGACTTTGGATTGAATATTTATATGTTAGCAACGCTGATGCTTTGAAGGTGATGCTACAGTCAAGACGTACCAACAACCTCATGTTCTCGGACTCTGTGGTCTTCTTTAGCACATGTCCTTCCAGCTCCGCACACCTCTTCTTGTATTGAAGAACCTTGTTTGAATAAAACCCAAGATGCACACTTGAGCCAAAGGAACTTTTCATGTAACAACTTAAGGATTCACATGGTCACCTTGATCTGAAGCTTCTGAACAAGTTCCACTTGTCTCAGCTGGGCCTCCTGGTATGCCTGCAGTTTCTGACTGTAAACTCTCTCCTTGTTGTTTATGAGCACGGAATCTGCTGATACACTGTCCTGGTCTGAGTCCACTGCTGACCTCAGCATCAGCATCTGATCCAGCTGTGAGGAGCAGTGACAAATACGCTTGAACAACTTTGACAATGGGACAGGATATTGCACTTTACAATTCATAGTATACACTCTACACTGCACTGCAAGTGTATTAGATACATTTGTGTAGTCTAATCCAATCCATTGCAACAACATTGTCTGCAATGAATCTTTACAAAGCTAATAGTATCCTGTTTTACTAACAGTGTGTCAGTGGAGGTGTGCTATGGTCATTTCAGAAACATCAGAAAGATTCAACGCTGCAGGCCTCAGCCCCAGAGTTTTTGAACTTTCCAAAAGTAGTAACCGTTGATTAGTGACTTTTTTTGGAGTGAGAAATAATCTACCTGGAAATGTATAAAGCACATTATCCGTGTGGTCAAAAGAAGTTCCACCGAACCTACATTCGAAATGGGGCTTAGATTTGCACGAGTCACTTAGCACTACAGGCTGTGAATGAGCAAACTCAAGTGAATGCTTTGCTCAATGCACTTTGGAAGTATTCTATGAAGGCTTGATTATTAGCTTTCATCACAGTCCTGAACGATTTTAAAACTAATGAGATTACATAGAATAGCATGTTCACCACATAAATAAAAAAAATCTGTTATGGTAACATGAATGATCTAAAGACGCAGAGTACTAATTCAGCGTCAGAACAGTGAGGAGAAGAACAGTGGCTTGATTTAAACATGGGAGGATTGCTACAGTATTTTTGTATATTGGTGTTTATGCAAAATGTCTTTATCTGTCAACTGCCTGTAAAAACAAACATCTTCAAAGGCACTGGTATTTCTCCTTGTGGAATCTCATATCCTCATATCTGAAATCCAAAAGTCCTGTTACCTCTCAACTTCACACAACCTAACCCCCCCCCTGTACCACCCACTCTCCATCCTGGTGCCAGACACCCTGTCCTCACTAATACAAACCACATGGCCCCAGAGCACTACAACACAGTGCGCGCCTCTAGCTGCCCTTGCCGACTTCACATTTAATAAAGAGAAGGAAGGAGTGAGAGGCAAGGGAGCCCCGCCACCCGCCCGCCCGCCCCGCAACACCTCCAAACCACCATCCAAAGCCCTTCAAATCAACCTGCAACCAACTCCCCCGCTTCTTTCTGTACCCCTCCATCTCTTCATCTGGGTGGCTTAATCTCTCCAGCAGGATCCAAAAGAGAGCCAGACAAATAGTCTCCCTGTTACTGGACTCACGCACTTTGCATTATCAAAACATTTTCAAAAGCCTTTTCAGAGGTTTTATACTACAAACTACAAAAACGGCATTATCGATGGTCATGCTTTTTGGTGTTTTTCTGCAAGTTCCCAAAGAGAGCACAAAAGTTTTTTACCTGCGTTGTTGGTGACAGCTTCAGGAGCTGAGCCGGAAGTGACAACCATGGGCGGAGTGTTTAGAATAAGACAGAACTGGCAGCCCAGCTGTGTTTAAAGGGACTCCTGCACAGCCTGATGTATGAAGGCCTCAGTGATTATCATCATGCAACCCCTCTCAACAAGACGGGGAGGCGGCAGAGCGTGATGGCATAATTATGAGGCTTCAAATACCCAGCTGTTTTCGAGTCCTTTAAACACCCCAGGCTGCTGGGCAGTTCTGATGTGTTTTCCAAAACACTCCCCGCCGGCATGTTGTTCGCTTGCCCGGCTCAGTCCGGCTGAAAGGCCTGTCAGCGCTCAAGCAACGGCCCAGTAAGACAGAATGCTTTTGTGCTCCGTCCTTTGGGAAA